TTCCTTCTGGGACGGGGAAATATCGTCCAGTACTTCCTCCTACCTAGTGATGATGTTGATGAAAGTTGTACTGACCATCATCAAGTTATTGGTATTGAGGTGGTAACGACAATACTACCAGAGCTCCAGATTTGGCGCTGCTACCACGCTGCTACAAGACTTGACCTTACCCTTTCAAATCCACTCTGCATTCCTTTTGAACCATTCAAATGGGGCGATTGAAGTAGTAACCTCCCATACCTACTAGTGCTAGCTCTGTAACTATAATTAATCCAGACTGATGGTTCATTTCTCCCCCCTCCTTCTGCCCCTCGTTTCGCCGCCCTGTCCGCTCAGCGCCGACCGTTGTTTCCGATAAGCCTTTAGTTAAGACAAGTGTGAGTGAGTGAGTACCTACGGGGGCCTTTTGAGTTGGCTCCATTTTTATTTTTTTTATTTTTTGTTTTTCCTTATTTTTATTTTACACGCGCTTACACATTTTTTTTTTTTTTTTTTTTTTTTTTTTTTTTTTTTTTTTTTTTTTTTTTTTTTTTTTTTTTTTTTTTACACTTTAACTCCTCCGTCTCTCTCCTCATCCTTTCCTAATTCCCCTTCCTGTCTGTATCGTCGTCACCACTCAGCGAGTGGGTTACCGTCATCTAACATAATCGATTTTGTTACTTCTACTGTCGCTCATCTCTCACCGCGCATCTTCTTCTTGTTTCGCTCTCTTCCTTTTCTTTTCCATTTCCTTTATCCCCGTCCCAGGTCGGCATTTTGTGGTCTTTCCATATCTTACCTTGATTATTATACTTCTTCTGTATCTATCTCCTGGCCCTGGTGCCTGTACATCCACCGCCTACACGTCATATTTCCTGGGATATTCCATCGGACCCTTTTCTTAATTTTTTTTATTCCAATTTTCTCCCTTTTCCCGGGCCGATCGAAACCCTGGGAAACTGATCACTTTGAGTTGAATTTTTTTTTATCTTTAATTTATCTTAGTTCAGGTCTTGGCCGGGGGATTATCATACCCACAACCTGTACTCGGCGACTCGTCTGAAACTCATCGAGTCTACCAAACTTCTCTCTCTTGACCACCGCTTCTCTCCTTCACTACGCTACATCCACCTGCCTCTTCCTCGTCATCCTTCCGGTCCACGTTTAGCGTCTCCCTGGCCAGGCACGTCTGCAAGAAATGTGTCCTCGATGCTAATGGTTGTGCTCTGCCACCTACCGCGTACAACCTACCTACCCTTGCTTCGCCATCATCGTTGGGCATTCGGCTAAAAACAATCATCATCAGCCTTTTGCTACATTCCACTTGCCTCCCCTTCCCTCTTCATCTCACCCCTGGGCCGGATTTGGAATAAGGAAAAATACCTATCCGTAAGTTATAACACCAAGCACTAAAGAAGCCACCACCCCATCGGCTCAGCGCCCTTGCTCCTCGTCCTCTCGACATCGAGTACGGCCCACATGCTGACAGGAGTTGCGCAAATCGGTTTAGTAGTCAGCTTCGTGGGATCGACACCGCGTTTTCTCAACTCCCCGGCACCCCAACCATTTTAGCTGAAACATCGTATTTGATGGGCCGAGGGTCACCTGAAAACCCCTTATCGATCAGTACATAGACCCCAATTCGGCGCCTGTGTCAATATGTCATCATTCTTACCTGTGAATAATATTTCCTCGCCGCAAGACCGTGTGATGGAGGAGGCGACGCCACCGACCACACCTCGACCCCATCTAACTAACGTACCGGAGGCGCAAGACGCCGCGAAAATGGCGGATATGGAGAAGGACGGCAGTACGCCCCGAAATGTAAACAACCCTGACCACCCTTCTCAACCCGCAGGCTCGCAAGGGAGCGGCTTGTCAGTATCTGAGGAGGCATCGCACGGAGACTCGGAGGGTGATCGCGATGGGTCGGACCATGACTCGGACCACAAAGGCGATGCTCCCCCGTCTAAGAAGAAAAAAGGACAACGGTTTTACTGCACAGACTACCCGCCCTGTAATCTAAGCTTTACCCGAAGCGAGCATCTCGCCAGACATATTCGGAAACATACTGGGGAACGTCCGTTCCAATGCCATTGCTCGCGACGATTTTCCAGACTCGATAACCTGCGGCAGCATGCTCAAACGGTGCACGTGAACGAGGAGATTCCGGGAGACTCGCTGGCAGCCACCGGAACCCGGTTTCAGCGTCAGATTCGAACCGATCGAGTGCGGCCTCAGGGTCGAGCTAGGGCTGGCACGGGTGGCAGTCAGGGAACTCATAGCAGAGGCCATAGCCGAAATTTGTCCACATCGAGTATCACGTCGACCGCGTCGACATTTAGTCAACCTCCGGAGCTTCGTCGCCGACCTCCGCCTTTGATCATGGCAAATGATGGACGAGCTCGTCTCGCTTTAGATACAATGGGCGATCCCCCTAGTACACCACCAGGTCAAATCCGTGGGGTACCGGGCCCAGCTGTGGCTGGCTCACCCTACGCACCCTCTCATATCTTTGCTGGAGGCAACGGCAGTCCTCATGTCGCCTCGCCGATGTCTGCAGCATCTCATGCCTCTGGTTTCTGGGATGGTAAAACCGCTGCGCGTCGCTTGTCCGTTCCGTCGGGAGCCAATCCTTTCGCATCGCAACCGGTCAATGCCTACCCCCCTGGTTACGCAAACACAGGCTCGACAGCTGCATATCACCCTCCGGGAGGGGTTTATGCAAGTCCAGTGAGCTCGAACTACTCGGTATCGCGGGATGAGACATCGCACAATGCAGCGGACGCCGATTTGCGGAGACGTACCTGGCATCCATCCACGTACTCCACTGTCTCACGTCCCGCTACTAGCGGATATGGCAATTACCAGCCTACCGAGCCATTGGCGCCATCCTATAACGCCAATACACAGGACGAACAACCACCGCGTCTGCCAGGAATTGAGAGCTTTGATAAGGTTGTCTCGCAGCGACCTCTCACTCCACCGGTGCGCAGGCCAAGCCCAATGCACCTTGATAACACCAATAAACCGCCACCTAACTATAACTTTGGCGGAGGGTTCAACTACAACAAGCCCTCAGTTCGGCCACCTCCCCCGATTTCTGGTCCTGGACATCGACGGGGTCATGTATCCTGGGACATGTCATTGCACACAAATTTGACTGGATTGCATATCCGGGACAAGCCCCTCCATAAAGATGCATCACACTGGAGCCAGCAAACTATAGCAGAACTTCACAGTGTTGGTTCTCGCCCGTCTTCATCCTACCATCCACAGCAGCAATACCAGGATTACCGTGGACACCATTCTCGCGGCACAAGTTACAGCAGCGCCATTCATGCTACTCGAACATCCCCGGAGGATTCAAGCAGCAGTGAAGGAGTTCATACCCCATCAACGGCATCTCTTGAGTACCACCCTGCCATTGTGCACAACAACGGGTACATCGAACCGCATCATACCCCATTCTCATCCGATACGTCTCAAACAGTACGCACCCGTTACCCGATGAATCGATAACGGCCAGGTCACTAATTGAACTATAGGCATCACAGTCCGATGGGTACCATAGCAAACCCAACCCCGGGACTGATTTCTTCAACAATAACCACCCGTCGAGCAGAGAGCCCGGTATGGGTAGGCTTGAGGCCCTGGTTGCTGTCGCAACCAGTGAGAATAAAGGGTCTGCAAAGCTTTTTGCTTGAAATACATCGTCCGGGATGTTACCAATGTATCGGAAATCTACCAATTCACATAAATTCGCGGTGCCCGAAGTGGTCTGGTGAAATCGGCAAAGGTTGCGATCTCTCCCGCTCGCTCTACCTTTTTTTCTTTTCTTTTGTGATGTTGAGCCGGTGTTGCATAGCACAAGTCACCTGGCCATCTCTCACTTTTTCCTCTACGCTATCCTGGATATAGTTATGGCGTTTTAGATCCTCGATCTACCGACTCCCTGGGAGCTATACACCACCGCTTGACTGGGAATTGTTATGAAGTGATGACTGATGAATATGATGGATGCATAAGTGACTCGATTAACAGGGAGGGGTTTTGACTCGTGGCTACCAGTCTCTTTCGGGTGTCTTCATTTCTTTTCCTGTTGTTTCCCCTGTCTGTCTTTTCTTATCAGGGTCGCGCTGGTTTTTGCATGTTCGCATGTTCGGGCGTTGTTTATGGGTTTGTCCATAGCGCATGAAGATACCCCTCGGCCTCAATCTCGAGTTCAGCTACGAGGTTCTGGATGGAGTTTTTCTACTCTGGTCGTGGTGTGGCTTCAATTGTTTATTAGGATTGCCTTATTTCTATCTATCTATCTATCTATCTATATATATATGTGTGGACATTTTGTTTGTGTGGCGGGGTTTGATGATCGTGTTTTACTACATTCGGGTCTCGATATGATTATTATGCGTGTATGTACGTGATCAACTAGTTTGCAAATAAGTGGACAATAAATACGGTGGTCAATTTGTTGGCCAAGCATTTTCTAATCTTTAATTGTCGTTTGTTATGTAAATGCGTAGCACCGATGTGCCAACTAGACGAGGTGCCTGCAGAGGAACTCCAGGGATCCTAGGAATGGATGCTTCCAGCCTGCACCCCGAAGCGGAACGGATGGCGACGATCCATCCATGACGTTGTGCCCCACATTTACATCAAATCATCGGTTCCTTGAAACGCAACGCGCCATGGAGAAGGGCATAAGGAAATGACTATCAGGTGACGTCGATAGAAAAGCGATGCAACGCTTGAGCAGAGTCTTCAAGTAGTATTCGCAGGTGAGACATGACCACTGGATATGTACATATGTATGTAGTATGTATGTAGGTACCAATGTAGTGCGTACATGTACATACGTGAGGACAAGAACCAAGAAGTAAAGTACTTAGTAGATTCCAGAAACTGGTAGCCAACAGAAGAGTACACACCTAGTGAAAAACCCATGTACTATGTACGTACTGGTCTGTGAAATAAAAAATAACAGCGTAGACGTCATACCCCATGACATGGTCTCCCCTCTTACCCCAGACTTTTAAAGGTCCTGTTTGCCTCAACTTCTCACACCCAATCCAATAGACTTTTATTTATAAGGCAACCTTGAACCCGAATCCCATCACAGCTACTGCAATCCATCCATAACAATGTCGAACAGAACCGGTCTCTACGCTGCTCTTGCTGCCGCTGGTGTTGGCGGTTACTATCTGTATCGGGCCGGTGGTGACCCAAAGGCTGCGAAGCAAGAGATTAAACGTATTTCCGCCCCCTTCCAAATCCCCGTTAACTTTTAATCGTTGCGAGCACAAATTTACCTTTTGTAGATGATGCCGATGTAGCCCGCAACAAGGTCTCTACGGACAAGGCCGAGAAAACTGGCCAAAAAGTTGGTGCGGAGGCTGGTGCGCATATTGACGAAGCGGTATGTTCTTTGTCTCCCTATTTGAAATTGCTCAGATACTCTATCTATTTTCATCTCTTCCTATTTTATAAATGAGAGCTAATAAGTGATTAGGTGGCAAACGCCCGCACCCAAGCACAAGATGCCAGCAACCGTGCTTCAGGACTAGCCCACGAGAGTCTCGATAAGCTCAACGACGTGCGACAGGATGCGGCGGCAACGATCAAGGCCAACGTTGATAAATTTGATAAGACGGTGGAGCAGAAGACGAGTGAGGCGAAGGGATCTCTGTCGAGCTGGTGGAGCGGTAGCAAGTAATTTGGAGGGACTTTGCGTCTGGGAATTGAATAAAGCGCGTTATTGCAATGTTTTAATTATGTTAATATCAGCTAGCTCATATCCTCTTTCATGAACGCGATTAATGCTATTATTTTTCATTGGCATTGTTATTATCATTGAAATGGTTGGTGGGTGATGATGGTAATGATTAGAAGTATAGTTCCGGTACTATGCAAGGGAAGAGAAGACTGTATGTGTATTATCCGGTTATCGTTGGCACTGACCACGTCTGATGTCTCGATAATCCCGATAAGCTAGAGGATTCGATAGAGGGCCGCTACTGGTACTGTAGAAACTAGTAGTCGTGGGTGGTATGTTGCATTCCTGTCATGTCGATTACCCTAGTGACGAAGTGCCATGCGCATAAGTTATCCACTTGAGGACTTGTAGAGCTGTAGGTAGTCTTCGGACTCGACTTGAAAGCCCTTCCAAATATATTCATCTTATAAATACTTCTAAACAACCCCCGGGGGTTCGTGTCACTGACAGTGGAGTAGATCCGGTGTGGGCGACCCAATATAACTATATCCGGACACGACGCCAACACGCGCCAAACGCGACGCGCTCCACCAGGGAAAAACCTAATCGCCAGCTAAATAGTATCAAGTGCCCACCCACTCCTTCCCTGCGAACCATTCCCCAATTGCATTTGTATTTTATGCATCAAACCTTCCTAATTGTCTATATGTTCCTTCCATAATCTATATCTCATCTCATTTATCCTCAACAAGCAAGGCAGTCACGATGCCGCGCACATCCACCCGACAAGCCCCCCTTCCCCGAGGACAGGCCGGCATCCAAAGTTTCGCAAGAACGACCAAGCCCGGTCTCAGATCAGCCGCAGATGGCAAGCAGGTCGTGGCCAGTCTTCCGGTCTCGCCTTCCAAGAAACGAAAACTGAACGAACTCGAGAACGTAGACTGCAGCAGCCCACGGACTCAAAAGGGGGAACCCACGACCGAAGCACTTACGCCCTCAAAATCTCTCCGGATCAAAGAACTGTCATTGTCTACCCCCCGAAGTGGCCACTATGCGTCTCCTACCCGTGCTTCACGGACTGCTGTCGCCGGGGAAATTTCTGCGATCCCGACTTCGCCATCGAAGCGTGCCAGGGGTAAGACCACATCCCGGCCTAGCGCGGCAGTTCTCCATGTGCGTCCTGCCTGTGTGAACGACTTGCTTAAGCTGCATTCGGCTTTTCTCAAAGCCATCACGTTTCACCATGCGCATCACGGTACGGTTACTCCCGCGGATTTGAGGGAGTTTCTTCCTAGTGTTGAGCGGTTGTGGAAGAAGCGGAAGGTCGTGGTCAAGGATGTGCAACGTTTACTATGGATTTGGGAGCAAGACTCGGCTGCCACGGGGCTCAACTATCGAATTGCCAATTATGGATTGGGAAAGGTCTGTTTGGAGCGTGTGCGTCGGGAGCAGTGGGTAATCGACGATAATGTATTGCAAGAAGAGTTCGAGCAAATCGTCGACTTGCTCTGGGAAAAGGCTCTGGATGCCGCTGATGGTGATGAAAGTCAGGTGGATTTTATCGCAACGCTGGGCGTTTCGTCTATCCACGAGTCGCTTACACCATTCACGAGCTTTCGGAAAGGCCAGCAGCGGTTGCAGGATCTGAAGGGCGGGGTAATTAAAATGAAGACGGAGAGGCTTAAAGAAGCGCCGGTGGAGGAGTCCCTTGGGAAAACACCCGATGCGACTAATGCTCGTCGCACAGGACTTCTGGATCGTATCAGGAGCAAGGCACTCCGTCAGTCGAAATTGCCGCCCCCTCCATCAAAGGAGATGCTGCTTCGTCGTGCTGCTGTGGAACGGATTGAGGAAGTTGCCGGCGTGTTGGCTTTACTGAGGCCAGCTGGTTATGTGGGTAGTGGGCCAACAGCTACTGTGGCTGCTCAGAGGAAGCCGTTCCGACTAGAGATGATTGTACAGAACGTCCAGGACTCATCGAAGAATCCTATTTCAAAGAGAGAGGTGGAAGTTTGCTTGGAAGTGCTGGCTCGGGCCGACATTGCTGGACAATGGGTCGATCTCGTCACCGTGAATCAGGTCAAATCCGTGGTTCTGAAATCTTCTGCGGATATCAACCTCAAGGATATCGGCGCGAAGGTGCGCGAACTGAAGTTCGACGAGGACGAGCCTGCATCACCCTCGAAACCCTAATTAAGACTTTTACTGTTTAATGTGTTTTGGATGTCTGGTGTTGCTGGGTTGGATACCCCATCTGTGGAGTTTGATACACATGACTTTATTAGCCCCTCATGTAGCATCTATTAGCGTTGCATCTATAATATACTTTTCTAGCTATTAGGAAATACATATCAATCATGCTGAACATGAAGTACTTCATTTCCGACGTGTAGGCGTTTTTTGGACCTGTCACTTTTGTGCAATTACAACGGCTCCTGTGATTGGCCAATGCTGCTTCAATATATCGCGAACGCGACTGCACGTGACCGCGTTGCCACGGAGCGCGTCTCCTGGAATTATCGAAATAGATCACCGCTGGCGGAGCTCATAGTCAGTCTTCCATTCATCTTGTTGGAGACTAACTGGCAAGATGTCTTCTCGTCCAGAACTCAAGGTAAGTGAACAAAACAACCGCGCTCTCGAACATTCAATAACATTTTGTCCTGTTTCAGGTTGACGACGAAGTCGGCTTCATTCGTTTTTATCGTTCCCTCGCAGCAAACAGCGACGATGAAACTATCCGCGTTTTCGACCGCGGTGACTGGTATTCTGCGCATGGCGCCGAAGCCGAGTTCATCGCTCGTACTGTCTATAAGACCACATCTATACTCCGCAACCTAGGCCGCAGCGACTCCGGCGGCCTTCCTTCCGTCACCATGAGCGTGACTGTCTTCCGCAACTTTCTGCGCGAAGCTCTCTTCCGACTCAACAAGCGTATTGAAATCTGGGGCTCGGTCGGAACGGGCAAAGGCCATTGGAAGCTGGTAAAACAAGCTAGCCCAGGAAACCTCCAAGATGTGGAAGAAGAGTTAGGTAGCGTTGGTGGATTATCCATGGACTCTGCTCCTATTATCTTAGCGGTTAAGATCTCGGCCAAGGCCGCAGAGGCCAGGAATGTGGGAGTGTGCTTTGCCGACGCCAGTGTGCGGGAGCTCGGTGTTAGCGAGTTTCTGGATAACGATATCTATTCCAACTTTGAGTCACTTATTATCCAGCTTGGGGTCAAGGAGTGTCTGGTGCAGATGGACTCTAATAAAAAGGACGTTGAATTGGGGAAGATTCGAGCTATTGCGGATAACTGCGGGATCGCCATCTCCGAGAGGCCTGTGGCTGATTTTGGTGTCAAGGATATTGAGCAGGATCTGACGAGGTTGTTGAGGGATGAGCGGTCGGCTGGCACGCTGCCGCAGACGGAGCTGAAGCTTGCTATGGGCTCAGCGTCTGCGTTGATTAAGTACCTTGGTGTTATGTCTGATCCTACGAATTTCGGCCAGTACCAGCTCTATCAGCATGATTTGTCGCAGTTTATGAAGTTGGATTCGTCGGCGCTGCGTGCTCTTAACCTTATGCCTGGCCCGCGGGACGGATCGAAGTCTATGAGTTTGTTTGGCTTGTTGAATCACTGCAAGACGCCTGTTGGGAGCCGGTTGCTTGCGCAGTGGCTGAAGCAGCCGTTGATGGATTTGGCGGAGATCGAGAAGAGACAGCAGCTTGTGGAGGCTTTTGTCGTCAACACGGAGCTGAGACAGACTATGCAGGAGGAGCACCTTCGCTCCATACCGGATCTGTACAGACTAGCGAAGCGGTTCCAGCGCAAACAGGCAAACCTGGAGGACGTCGTGCGGGTGTATCAGGTTGCTATTCGCTTGCCTGGTTTTGTCAATTCTCTCGAGAATGTGATGGACGAAGAATATCAGACACCTCTGGAGACGGAGTACACTTCCAACCTCCGGAGTCACTCCGACAGCTTAGTGAAACTGGAGGAGATGGTTGAGACTACAGTTGATCTTGATGCGCTGGAGAACCATGAGTTTATTATCAAACCTGAGTTTGATGAGAGTCTGCGGATCATCAGGAAGAAGCTGGACAAACTCCGTCATGACATGGGTGTTGAGCACCGCAGAGTAGCTCGGGACCTCGACCAAGATATGGAGAAGAAACTCTTCTTGGAGAACCACAGGGTGCACGGATGGTGTTTCCGACTTACTCGCAACGAGTCGGGCTGTATCCGCAACAAACGAGAGTATCAGGAATGCTCTACACAGAAGAACGGCGTCTACTTTACTACGACGACTATGCAAACACTTCGCCGGGAGCATGATCAACTGTCCTCAAACTACAACAGAACTCAGACCGGCCTGGTGAATGAGGTCGTCAATGTCGCCGCGTCCTACTGTCCCGTCCTGGAACGACTTGCCGGTGTGCTAGCACATCTCGATGTCATTGTAAGCTTCGCTCATGCTTCTGTCCATGCGCCGACGCCCTATTCTCGGCCCAAGATGCACCCACGAGGCACCGGAAACACGGTTCTCAAGGAAGCGCGTCACCCCTGTATGGAGATGCAGGATGACATCTCATTCATCACTAATGATGTGGCTTTGGTTCGAGACGAGTCCTCCTTCCTAATCATTACTGGTCCAAACATGGGAGGTAAATCGACTTATATTCGCCAGATCGGTGTTATCGCCCTCATGGCTCAAACGGGCTGCTTTGTGCCTTGCACGGAAGCAGAATTAACCATCTTTGACTGCATCCTTGCACGTGTTGGTGCAAGTGATTCGCAGCTCAAGGGAGTGTCTACTTTCATGGCTGAGATGCTTGAGACATCCAATATTCTCAAGTCGGCAACGTCCGAGTCTCTTATCATCATCGACGAGCTTGGGCGCGGTACAAGCACATATGATGGCTTCGGCCTAGCATGGGCCATCTCCGAACACATCGTCACAGAGATTCGCTGCTTTGGTCTTTTCGCTACTCACTTCCATGAATTGACAGCTCTCGCCGATCGATACCCCAAGTCTGTCAAGAACCTGCACGTGGTCGCCTTCATCGGTGATGGTACCGATGATGACAGTGAAGATAAAAAGTCCAAGCGGAACCAGGTCACTCTCCTGTACCGTGTCGAACCTGGCATTTGTGACCAGTCATTCGGTATCCACGTTGCCGAATTGGTCCGCTTCCCAGAGAAAGTGGTTAACATGGCCCGTCAGAAGGCAGAGGAACTTGAAGACTTTACTTCATCGGAACAGCAAAACCAGCAGTCATCCATGGCTATCGATGGATACTCGCAAGAAGAAGTTGAGGAGGGCAGTGCCCTTCTCAAGGCGATGTTGTTGAAATGGAAGGCGGAGACCGAGTCGTCTGGTAAGGAGTTGACGGTGGAAGAGAAGCGACAGATCATGCGTGATCTCGTCAAAGCGGATGAGAAGCTGCAAGCAAACAAGGTCTTCCAGGGCATCAAGGCTTTATAGATTAGTATTTGCGTCTTTTTCTTTTCTCGGGGGTCATAGCGGTTCGGCGTTGGGATGGTATCAATCTCTGTATGTGTGATCTACGGACATGAGGATAAAATATGTAGGAATAATGTTATCCAAAAATTTCCAGTCATTGTTTCTTTGCACGTATTGCTTAGGGTAAAATGAATGGATAGTCCATTCATCTACATCCACATCAGTCACGTGGGACCACGGAGGTCTAGACGCTCCACCGGGATAGTATTCTTAATCTATAAGCGCATTGTCTCCAGTCCTCACCACAAACAGCCAGGGTTTACCAGTTGTCCTAACATTTGGTCTCGCAAGTTTCGTCGCCTTCCTTGAGCGATCGTCATTCCTTCCGTGCAATCTCGGACCAGTAAATTTTGTCACTCCCTTCTTGACTCTGGTTTCAACAGCTATGCGCGCAAACTAAGGTGCTACCCGCCGAACCACCGTATTTCATGCACCCCTTTTCTATTCTCACACTCGGCATCTTCGTCGCGGGCTACATCACCGCAAGGTGGGATCTCGTCACTCGATTATATGAACTGGCTATATTTGCCTGGGATCACGGCGTTGTGGTACGTGTTGTTTGCCAGCCCCTCTCTATCTTTTACCCACCGCGGGATACTTGTTCGGCTCCGTCGTACGCGCGGCCCGGGCCTGACTTCCATTACACGGCATTGGTATCGCATGGACTAATTCTCATATACGAATAGACACGAACAGCGAAGGGATTTGTGCTTTTGTCTATTTTTTACTTCCTCCTTGTCCTCCCTATCAGCTATCTGGCTGCGAAAGAAGGCGAACTGGTATGCGACACACCGATTAAATCAAGCCCGCAATCCAATGGAGCGAGAAACCTGCCTGCGAACAAAACCGAAGCTAATAGGTCTAATGGCAGCACCCTCGATACGTCAACCTGGGCGTATCTGCCCGAGAACAGTTACGCCGCCGCGGCTCCTTTTAATCACGTTTGAAGGATGACAACATGCTCATGAGCGATGGATTGCTGCGGGTATTTTGGCCATATGACCTTCCTCGGTCATCGTCACAGGGCGTGATTGTCGGGTGGAAGAACTCGGAGCTCGACTTGTTCGTGCTGACGGTCTTGGAGGATGTTGAGGTGAGCCGACGCATTGGTTGGCTTTCATACGGTCTGCTGGTGGAATACTGACAGGCCTCGCATTTACTAGCCTAGGAATGTCGACAATGCTCTGCGTGCTGGAATCCTTTTTCGCAACAGCCCCCATCCGATTGTGAGGATATTTACGCTCTGTGGCAGATCTGCCATGCATGTGCTGGGGACGACCAATCCACGAGAGCCACCGACGGCGTTTAGCCCGTCGCACCTGTATGTGAATACGCATTCGTCATTTAAGATCCCTCGGATATATTGTCCGCCGGAGACGAATGTGTCTGTTCAGGTTATCATGTTTCATCGCCCTCATCCTACCCGCATGGAGTATATGTCGCTAGAGCCGATTTCCCTTGCTCTGGGCGACAAGGTGTTTGCTGCGGACAAATCCGACTCAGTATCCGACAAGATTGATACCGAGGAGGAGCGGGATAAAACGCAGTCTCAGAAGTTGGTTGAAAAGCTTAAGCTTCATACGGTCGTTAAGCATGTCCCGTCGCACAAAGAGCAGGCACTGCCCCTCATAATCAACCAAGTGAATTGCGCCTACGAGATGGGGAAGCTCATGGAAAAGAATAGTCACCTGATTGGGATTCGTGTCAAGAGGAGTATGAGCGTTGGTGAGCGAGTTGTCGAATCTGCAACCACGCTGTGGGATCTTTTTGTCCTTGGTGTTTCCTATGTGTTCTGGCAATGGGTGTGGCCTGTTGTCACACGGATCTTCGTCATCGGTCTTGTGTTCCACCGAACAATTGCTGAGATAGTACTCCAGATTCTAGAATGGCGCGCCCGGCCCGATGCAGCAGCTTTAAAGGACATATCAGCAACGGCCCAACAAGTTGACATTCGGCTCCAACAGTTCTGCTACTGGCCCATTCAATACGTCAAGCTGCGACAGAGGAAGGATAATTGGGAGAGTGTGACTACCAGCCATCCAGACTATATTCGGTTCTACAACAGTCTATGGCTTGTCGCGAACGACGTGATTATCGGTATAGCGTTGGGTTCCTACATCATCGATAATGCAAATTGGGTGGCTTTGCAAATCAACGCTATTCTTACTGGCTGGACTGTGGAAGGATTACAACGTACTATATCCTGGCTGATGGACTGGCCAGCAGGCTTAAAGTTGAATAATGAGCTCGCAGCTTTTCTGGGCGATCTGTTTCTGTGGGTAATAGAGAATTGGGCAGGTAAGGGCTTCCCCCTATTGATTTTCCTCCTTCAGCTAACCAAGAAAAGCTTTCATTGCAAACCTACAGCCTTACCTTCCTCACGTTATATATATTGTTGGGTGCTCTAGCTTCGCGGGCGCCAGCATGCCGATTGCCCTCTTCTCAGATCTCGTATCTATACTGACCGTGCACATTTACTCGTTCTATATCGCCTCGGCGCGCATCTTCAATTGGCAGCTGACTATCATCATATCCCTATTCCACCTGTTCCGTGGTAAGAAGCGGAATGTGCTGCGCAATCGTATAGATTCATGCGACTATGATTTAGATCAACTCCTGATTGGGACGATCCTGTTCACAGTGCTCTTCTTTCTCCTTCCTACCATCATCGTTTTCTACCTGGCTTTTGCAACCGCTCGGATGTCAATCATCTCGGTGAAAGCGATACTTGATACATGTCTGGCATTCTTGAACCACTTCCCACTCTTCGCCTTGATGCTGCGGGTCAAAGATTCCCGGCGACTGCCAGGTGCGTTCTTACACTCTCACATGGCGGATTATCAAGCAATACATAACTAACCCGCTATTACAGGCGGTATTCACTTTGAGCTCCGCGAAGAGCATGATAAGTCATCAAACAACGACTCGGCTTCCATAGTACCATACATCCATCTCGAGGTTTGTCACACCACACCCACTACCACACTATCAGAAACTATCTCCACACTGGGAAAGAATAACCAAACTAAACAAAAACCAGTCAATACCCCTGACTCTTCGCGCCATGTTCGACCAATACTTCCAACTAGGCCATCGCCTCCGAAAACATTATCTCTCGCCGCGCGTGATCTTCTGCCTAGTAACCGGCCGCTTCGTGCCCCCGATCCACCGTCGCAATCTCTACAGCATGCAATATAGTATGCTTCCTGCTCGTCGGGCCGGAATGGCCGAGGTGTGGTCCTTGTTGACCCAGCCTCGTAAAACGAATAGTGGCGGCGGCGGTTCCTCTACCATGGCTGGGGGAATGGGTGCAACGGCGAATGGGCTACTGAAGGTTCCGGGCGGGTTCGGCCAGGGTGATATGAGGAGACGAGGACATCGATGATGTGACATCTGTGTCTTTGATTGATGAGATTTGCAAATGAGTTTATGCGTGTTTATGCACATAGATATAATATAATCTAATTTCAGTACTACTCATTATGTGATCTGGTCTCCAGGTGAGTTGGTCGTTCCCATGTTCTGTATAGTTCAAGTAAAATACTCCAGACTAGATCATCCTTCGCTCCCTGACGTCCCATGTCCCGCTAAATATACTGAATGCCACGGACCACATCAATCATATCAAGTGAAGAGTCGCTAAATGCTGTATGCTCCGAGGAATAATCTAGTTTACAGAAATATAAAATACATGAGCGTAGCCGTGTTAGTACAGAATTGTTAAAATCAACAAGTTGAGGTGAGACTTTCCAAAGAAGCCATAGTAGACATTGTGGCACACCTGAAGCCATAACTGACTTGCAAATAATTGGCGTTTCCAGGAACCAACATTATGTTGCCAGATATCCGGACAATGAGCCCGAGACCAAGCTGAGCTGCCAACCAATATTGCAAGAGAACTTGCGCCGCAAAAGCTTGGCCATTCATGGCAGATTGAGATGTGGTCTGGCCATTAACAATAACAATATTTCAAGCTATTGGACCCCTTTGCTTGTTTATTAGTCTGTATGAAGAGCGGAGATGAGGCATGTATAATGAAGCTAAAGATCAACTCCTCCGAAGGTGCTCGGCATCATTCTCGGCGTTACCCTTCCGAGCATCTTCCAGCATAGAATCTATGCCTTTTTCTTTCAACACTTTCTGCCGAGAAGTTAGCGCACACCATAACATACGGGTTTGTGCTATGTTACATTTAAGCATGTCTTGTATTTAGAGAACAGCTCTTCGCAGTCATTGGATGTTGTATTGCCACGAAGGTATTCTGTTTTTTGTCAGATTTATAGAAAGGCAGGAATGTTTAGTGGGAAAACTTACTTTCACTGTACCATTTGAGAAAGCAGGTGTCATATTTCCTGGTCACAGTTAGCTGTCAGTATAGATTTGGGCATGGCTTAGGTGGAGACTACTCTTTGATATCATTGCACTCGGGTGCAATCGAGGCAGACATGATGAATCTTATTAAGTAGGCGACTGCTCAGGGATGTCAGAAGGCGCTTTTGTTTTTCCGGGTTTATGGCTGGAAAAGTGAGGCAAATAGGATAAGTAATGATACGCCAGCAAGTAGATGAGGATGATCATCGCCGCTGTGCCCTTCTAGTCTGAACCTAGTAGGCGGTCAGCAGTCCGCCGGCGTTTGCATTTCTCCACCTCCGAATTTTTCCTTCTTTTCTTTTTTTGTATGGACTAAAAGTGATTATTGGCTAAACACGACTGCCAGGCGCAAACAATCTTGCCCTGTTTGTCTGTTCATTACCATTTCAGCTCTGTATTTTAATTGAAAAGGATACTTAGAGCTAAACCACAATGGATTCCGCGGCAGACTTTCCGCCGTTCCAGCAGCGGTTAACGTCGTCGCTCGTGCAGATGACTCGCACTGTTGGTCAGCTCTCTGCTGAAGATCTCAGTTTTCACCGCACTTCAAGCGCGGAGCTTTCCGAGTCTATCGATGAACAAAGCGGCAGGATTCTTTCGCTAACCTCGTCTCTCTTGAAAGCCGCCACAGCCGGTACCGATTTACCCGCGCCGACCTTGCAGGATGAAGACTCTATCGAAGACAATTGGCGCGGTGTGGTGGATGTTATCGATGCTCTTTTGGAAAGAGCAGATGCTTGCTTGGATGAATTTACCGGTGTGATTAAGAGACTGAGCCCATCACAGCAGGAGCAGAGTGCAGAGAAGGCTACAAAGAAAACTACTCCGAAGTTTCCCACCATCTACGATTACGGCCCGTCGAAGATCCCGAAGCCTCAGCTGCATTTTGAGCGTCAAGTCGATAACGCCGATGCTTCAACTTTCAAGCCATTGCTCAGGACTAAACCACATGCGGTGATTCCGTTGGAGAAGTCTGTTGAATCGTCAGACCCTGCGACGGGTTTTAGAAATCCGTATGAGACCGAGATCCGCGCTGCGAAGTATCCAGAGTCTACCTACGCCGTGTCATCTCCCGTTCCTTACCAGCCTTGGGAGTCAACAACCGCAACTTTCGTGGATACCTTGGAAGGGGTGAAGGAAATGCTGAAGGAGCTTCAATCTGCGAAGGAGATCGCGATTGATCTAGAGCATCATGATGTGCACTCCTATCAGGGCCTTGTTTCTTTGATGCAAATCAGTACTCGCGATAAGGACTGGGTAGTCGACACACTGAAACCGTGGAGGGAGGAGCTGCAGATGCTTAATGAGGTTTTTGCGGATCCTAGCATCCTCAAAGTGCTCCACGGTTCGTCCATGGATATCATTTGGCTCCAACGCGATCTAGGTCTCTATGTGGTTGGCATGTTTGATACTTACCACGCTGCTTGCGCTTTGAATTACCCCAAGCGAAGCTTGAAGTTTCTCCTGCAAAAGTTTGTCAACTTCGAAGCTGACAAGAGGTACCAAATGGCCGACTGGCGAATTCGGCCGATTCCAGAGGGCATGTTTGACTACGCCAGATCCGATACCCACTACCTTCTTCATATTTTCGATCACTTACGCAACGAACTCAATCAGAACTCAACGCCCGATAACAACCTCATCGACTATGTCCTGGAGAAGTCAAAGGACGAAGCTCTGCAACGGTACGAGCGCTCTCCTTATGATGCTGCCACGGGCCAAGGACCAGGTGGCTGGTATGATTACTTATCGCGCAATCCTGCCGTCTTGTCCAAGGAGCAATTTGCCGTCTTCAAAGCAGTCCATCAATGGCGTGACGCGGTCGCCAGAGAGGAGGATGAAGGCGTGCAGTGTGTGTTCCCCAAGCACATCCTTTTCAAGGTTGCCCACACTATGCCTCTGGACTTGGGGACATTGTTCCGGACACTGTCACCAGTGACACCCATCGCCAAGGACAGAGCAGCGGACCTCCTGGAGGTCATCAAAAATGCGAAGATTGAAGGCGCGGACGGCCCTGAATGGCGCGATGTGTATGTGAAGCCGACAAGGGCCGGACGATCTGTTCCGGCAACGGAAACCGAACAGGGTCTTGTGACGCCACCTATGGCTGAGGAGAACTTCCCTACCGCTGCCCGCTGCGAGGTCTCCCAGTTCTGGGGTGCAGTGTTGGACTCGAGGGAACCTCTTACCCCGCCCGAGTATTCTGCCGTCGCCTCTGCAGAAGCCCTTAGACTGTCGCTCCCGCTGCCGCCCATGCCTCGTACGGTATCTGAAGCTCGCGACAAGCTTGCTGGCTCTACTGCTGCCAAGCCGCCCCCTGCCAAACCTACACCAGCCCCTGTTGAGGCACCAGAAGAAAAGGAGGAGAACAAAATCTTCACGGTCAAAGGGCTTGGCGGCCCGCGCAAACGGAAGAGCGAAGAAGCCCCGTCTCCCGAAGCCGATGATTCTAGCGATGTGATAAACATCGGGGAGAAGCCATCCAAGAAACAGCGCCGTAAGGAAAAGAAGAACAAATCTGCGTCGCAGACTCCGCAGCCCGAGGAAAAGAAGGAAGAAGCTGAGCCCTTCAATTATGACGCCGCTGCCTCTGTCCTGCACGCACGGCCAGTTCAGACCGCCACACTTCACAAGAAACGACCATTCAACCCTTACGCGAAGGCGCTTGAGGCACCCAGTGGAGTGCGCAAACAGAAGCGCGAGACCCCCGGAAAGTCATTCACTTTCAGGTGATTATGTTAAAATTAGATCTTTTTGTCTGGTCTTATGTACGGTAGATTGGTTGCGCTGGTATAAAATGTTTTGAGTACATAACGATACCCGATTAGTTGGAGAATTAACGAATCGAAGGCATTCACTATAGTCATCATCCTACTAGTAGTTTCTTAATATGTATTCACACTGCTAAACCACATCCAACCCCTTTACACAAACTAAACCAGGGTTCTTATAATCATGAACCCACCGTCCCCTACAGAATGGACTTCTTGCAGATAACACCCAAGAACCTTCTGGACTGCCTAGAATGCAGCCTCAGATTCAGTATCGGATTCGCCCAGCCATTTTCCCAGCCCACACCACCCCTAACACAGACGTTGCCTTTAAGCTCCCATCAGTCACGCCCCTATCATGACGAGGTATTAGTTGCGAAACCATAGAGGGAGCAGTCCATAGCATTTCAAAATAACACCACTTAGAATTCTCTCGTCACACATCCACCAGGCTTATATATACACATAGACTAAGCCACTAGACTACATCCAGACAAACAGAAGCAAAGAATATGTACAACATACTGTACAAAAAGAAATTGATAGAAGATAACCCAACCCCCCTTCCGAAGACCAAATCTCACACAAGAAACAACCCCTCCACCTACGGGCGAGCCAAGGTCTTGCGTCGCTGGCTAACCATGTATTTATACATCATAGGCGTTCCTATTCCACGTCATCAGAGAAGGTCAAATAACAACAGGACAGGGAACATACCAGGCACATAAAGCACGAGAAAGAAATAGAAGATGCCAGCCACGACAAGACTAGACGTGGCATTCGCAGCATGGTACATTAACCACCATTCGCTGCTGATTCCGATGGGATAGAGAACGAAGAAGAGCGAGTATCTATTTTTTTTTTTTTTCTCGTGTTAGTTCAACACCACTCCAGTATGGAACTTGGGGTTGGTTAGTTATGTATACCTTAGCCATTTCAGCGCATCGGGTACCGGCCTCCCCGCCAGCATTACGACGAAATATAGGTACCTGACGGTATCTGCCGCAGACCAGGCGAGCACCATCGCCGGGTAGGCCCATGATGGGGCAGTCACGGCCGGGAAGGCATAGTTAATGGCCCAGACCTGTACGCTGCGGCCGAATACTTGCGTGAAGGTTGTGAAGACGGGGCTTCGGGTGATTCCTTCACCCCCGGGGGTTAGTATTATGTACTTGAGATAGGGGGTGAGACGGGATCTGGTCTTACCGGCAGCGGAGTGGAAGATCTCTGCAACTGCTAGGGTTTGCGTCCATCGGGTCCAGGGCTCGAGAGTTGTGTATGTTGATGCCGGGTCGTGGGTTGTGAGGACGGTGAGGAGGATGCGGAGCCAGAGGATCGTGGATATGGCATTGTAGAAGAGTAGGTAGGCTCTTTTAGGGGAGAGGTGTTCTTGCGTAGGCGACATGGTTAGTGTCCCCCTTGTGCTTCTATTGGGATTGGTTTTTGATGCTGCAGGAAATCTGAAGATAATTAATTAATTGGTCAATGCGTTGAACTAGTCAAGTAGATTTCTTGGTTCGCTCTGCTTTGTCAGCACGTTAAGGACCTCTTGTGGTTTACGATGGTTGTACGGGATTTCTGCATGGTTATTTTCTATAGTAGATTGGTTCTGAGTGTTGTATTCTAGGTGCTGACTGGGGTAGCGGATGTTGCCATATCAAAAGCCATGCAGTATCTGGCGGTTGGTGGAGCTCCCTGTCAAGAGTACATACAAACGGATCTATGAGGCAGTGCACCTAAAAGGGGTGAAACCCCCTAGAATTATGGTTATCTCAATATCCCGGCCCCAAAGCGCCCGATTGACTGTCCTTTCCTATAGTTGAGTTGAATGTTGTCGACGTAGGGCCAATTCGTGATTTTGTGGTATGGCCTCCTGTGGAGACCTGAAAACCATGAGAGCTTCTTTCAGTTGCATCTCACGGATATTGACCATTTTAGGGTTCAACTCCTCTTTCTAGAAGGCTTTAGGTAACTTCTGTGTTCTACCAGTCCAGATCCCGGTCAAGCCGACAAAGAAAAACCCACAAAGGAAATTAAGAGCGAGCGTTGAACTAGTATGCGTTTTTATGGCTAAGTTGAACAGGACGGGCCAGATCGGCGGGCTGACAGCGATCTGCAATATTGATAACGAAGGGTATTAAGCTAAGAGCTCTCCAGTTAATGATATGCCGCGTGTAGAAGCTCCCGGGCGCAAGACCCTGTCAGGTCGAATGCTGATCAGCGTTGCCTAGAAGCTCAGTTCACTCGAAGATACCAGACGCCCGGCGCCAAATGTTGACGCGGCGCGCAGATACCATTATGCAGAGATAGTCGATTTTTTTCCGTGAAGAATGATGTCCAAGGGATAAGTGATAATAAGTCCAATATAGGAATGTACCACCGTGAGTAGAAGGTTGAGGCCGCATAGGGCTTCGACGGGATCAGTTGAAATCTCGGTGACGCCGAAACGGATTGTAACACAAAGCGCCTTTTCCTTGGGAAGAACAGAAAGCGGTTTAGAAGATCTCAACTATAGGACATGTGTTTATGCCTTGACAATGCTGAAAGCTACCCATCCCCCTCAGCAGGCGATTGGTTGTACCTCCTGTTTGCCCTTCAAGTTTCTAGATACTAAGAAGGTGCCCGTTACTAGGTTCCATCTATAGTACAAGTTGCATGACCATAATTGGACCGTTGACGAAGACTAGCTTATCTGTAGTGAATCCCTGATGTACTCAACGCCGTTAATTTAGACTTAACCTGCATTGCAGGGGGTGTCAGCTGGGCGCCAGGGTGGAGACATGTACGATGACCAACTTCTCCGGTGTATGCAATTGATGAGCAATCAAGCTATCCTTGATACCAGACAGAGGCTGATCGGCATGACCATGTACCTGCGTGGAGAGATTGTTCGGTGGAAGAACCGTTGAGGCATTTGCCACGGGGAGGAGGTCCGTGGGTTCTGCAGGATGGACAAGATGCGGTGTGCGATTTGGAATAATGCCTCAGTGGTCGATTGGTCTAGATGGTGTGCTTACTCTTTCTTTCCGTCAGCTTGGGGGGGGGTTGGTGTGATAAAGGGCTTATGAATCGTTCTGTTCAAGGAATCAAAGAAGGGGCCTATGCCACGATCGTCTCTTTTATCATGGATCTGGTATCCTATCAGAACGAGGGTACCGTCCTCCCGGTACTTGGTCTGTCCAGGTACCACTCGTAGTATGTAGAGTCATGGTTCATGCATTTCAATCCCATCGGGGCGGAGGGGTGGAATACGAGATGTTCCAAGGGCGAAGGTTCGTGTTAGCTGGAGCTGTCTGTGCTCACCCAGCTTGCATGCGAACCATCCTGTCAACTATACCCATTTTGCCGTATGGAGATACACACATGGAGGTCTACTTTAGCTTCGAGTGTGTCAGTGCTGTGGAAGGACGACGGAGGATGATCCGAGAGAAAACAGGGAAAAGATAGTCAATGGATTCCAAGCTAAAGTCTGACAGGAGAGGGAATGTCAATGAACAGCTGACCGCTCTTACGTATGTACCCCGGACTTTACCTGAGCAAATTGACTGGGTTTAATCCCCGTTGGATTGCATCTCGAACCACATGACTCCTGAAACATCTGTGCGGTTGACAATTTACGTGCATGGACGCTAGTGATATTTAGTCTCTCAGGGACGAGAGTCCATGATGTAATGGATTGTCGGTCTCCTTTTTGAGACAACCGGCGTGATTGGAAGCGGATGATGGCGGACGGTGTCGTATGGACTGACAATCATCCCTTAATTCTCACCAGATACCGAGAAACAGTATACCTATCCTTGTATGAACAGTCTTATTCCCTTCCCCCCTTCCAAACAAGTTCAAGAGAAAAAGAAGAACATTCACAGAATTCATAGCATTTGGATTAAAAATACCTATCAAGTCGAATGGGGCGACACATACAATCTACTAAACCGTATTGAGCCAGATGCAGCGGGCGAGCGGATTAAATCATTTAATTCGACGCAGGTACCAGCCATGAGTCTGGGCGCTAAGGCTCCTCCTTGTACTAGTATGAGCGGTCTAAAGCTTCCCGTCCTCCCTTATGAAAAGCAAGAAGAGAAAGTGTGGTTTCATCCCTATGAGTTGATGATGGTTATGGTTTTTATTGTTCGTTTTCTATTATTTTTGCCTCACTTCCACTGCTGCCTACTCCATTCAGGGTGTATAATACTACATAGTAGTATAAGTCTCAGAGAAAACCTCCCTGAGGTGGAGCTCGGCTATAGCGTGCCCGTTATCAGTGATGGATGAACCTGTGGGCCATCCTGGAATGATCCATGATTCATCCAACAAGGGAGGTTGAGGTGGCCAATGACATGGAACAACTGCAGCACACGAGGCAAATGCAAGACTCCGGACCAGACGAAACCACAATCAAGGAGCACAATGCCCTGCATATGACAGTCTGCTATAGAAAAACCCGGCTTACTGACATAGTACTAGTCACATACTCTAGAGGTCTACTAAGTATACCTCAAACTGTCAATCACACAGATGGTCTGTGAAACAAGGTTAAACTGTGAATCATTCCTGACCTTTCCTTGGCTTGATAGCCGCCGCAAGCACCGATTTATTAGCTAACATTCGGGAAAAAAAAAATATTACGAAGTACAAGAAGAGGGCGAAGGAGTCCGTCATCACGGTTGCGTGTGCAGCATCAAATCGGAGACCCAAAAATCCACCGCACCCCCTGTCCTCCCGATGAGTGGCAAGAATTTGATTTGGTTGGCTTCGGTTGCAGTGTAACTGGAACAGGGGTAGGAAAGTTGAAGGGAACTCGAAACGTCTGCATCGCTTGGTATTTTTTTTTTCTTGCTCTTTTTATTTTTTTTTCCCCTCACTCCTTTCGTCTCCATGTCGCTTAGCTTGATTTTCTTTTGCTTTCTTTCTTTTTATTTATGTAAACATTTTCCCTTCGGTAGGGTTACCGTTACCATCAAGCAACGCGTATGTACTCCGGAGCAGTTAGGCCCAACCCAAAAAGAAGGGTACAATGACCATTTAGCCAAGACCGACCACACACTTTACTCCATACTCAAACTAACCGACTAACGAAGGACACTAATCACTCTAGCTATGTCCAGTATGTGGCTCCAGCTAAGTCCCATGTCGGTATCTACCTACTGTACTTGCCCGATGGAGCAATTCCCCTTGCGTCCACATCCTGCACTACACTTTGAATATCACACACCCTCTTCACACACATACACCGTCCTCTTAGGCCTGGAGAAAGGAATCAATCGGAAGACGATCGTCCGAATCCATTGTCTTACTGAGAAACATCTTGCATCGCTTCCGTAAGTTGGCGGGATTCTTTGTCATGGTAATTTTTATTGTTGTCATCCTGGCTTAGGTAACTGGAATTAACTTTGGGGGGGTTATTCAGTCCAAATCTGTCCAAGCGTAAAACATGTTTAAATTCGGAGAAAAGCGATAGACATGAGGTGATACTATAACTCTCGATAGGGAAAAGAGAGAAAAAAGGTGAAAATCATAAATTACTAGGACTAGCCTAATTACTCCATATTTCGTATAGGTCGATAGTGCTTTCCGCCAAAATTTTAAATTTTAGATTTAGATTTTTTTTTTTTAAAGAAAAAACTCAATTAGTGGGCTTTTCTCCACTGCTACACATCAAGACTCCAAGGCTAAGGTTCTAAAGCACTGGCTGACCGGGTACTCAGCGCCGGTTATTCTTCTGGACATTGAGATTACAGTACTCTGCGGTGTACTCCATAATAGTTTCTTGTACGGGGATCGACGGCAAAGGTGGAATCCTAGAAAGGAATGTGTTCAGGTACGGGCAGGGATTAATTAGTGTTGATGGGTCCTGGGGTGAGTGAGGTGGAGAGAGCAAAGTATAGGCTACCCTTGGATGACCATTTTTCTTGGGTTCCTCATCTTTCAACATTACCATTCATAAATTTTCTATAGATCAGAGAAGAGGCCTCCAAAAAAGAGGGAAAAGGAAAAAGGCGCACAGAGAGATACCCTTAAAAAGGAAAAAGAAAAAATAACTAAATAACTCGATCAACTAATATACCAGGTGCATATGTATGTCTATACTCCATACCTACATATGTACTCCGTAGGTACAGGATTCTTAGTACTTTTAGGTACCTTCATGGCGCTTGGATTTCCTGTTCCTGTTTGCTGCAAGTCACGGAAACGCAACTCCACTGCTTCCGATCCCTAACGCCCCATAGGTAGCAAAAAATTGTTTTTCTCCCCCCCCCTCAATATTTTTTTTTTCTTTTTTATTTTTTACTCCGTACCTCACCCTTAAAAAGAAAAATGAAATACAAAAAACCAGACTAAGACAGCCAATGCATTCATTCCCCTCTCTGAATCTTGTCTCTCCCTATCAGTCCATCACCACTGTACATACCTTAATGAGATTAAGAACCCATTCCGACATATTTACATTATTATATTTTACTATCGTGAAATTTTTGATTATCATCGTCCCATTAGGATTGCCATTAATCATTTATTGTAAGTGGCCTCTTTTTTTTTTTTTTTTTTTTTTTTTTTTTTTTTTTTTTTTTTTTTTTTTTTTTTTTTTTTTTTTTTTTTTTTACCCTTTCCTCCCGATTGTACAGGATATTGAATTTTTCCTATTTGTTGACTTTGGGACCCGTTCCTGATTTCCTGCCTCGTCTCTTCTCCTCTCCCCCCTCCGCCAAAATATCTCCCATTAATCTCCATCCGGTGCCTTGCGCTCCCTACTTTTCTTTGGCGCCGGTCTTCTTCTCCTTAAAGCACCTACCTACTTTCTGATCAACCGTTTCTTAAACGTCCTTCTTTTCTCGCTCTTACTCGGAAATTATTTCAGGCCACCGCTTCTCGTTCTAGATTTCGCGATTTTTCTGATACCTTTCGGCGACTTCTGGCTAAGGCGTGTCTCCTATTGATCGCGCTCCACCCCTCGTTGGCATTCCACCGACATTTTATTTTACCTTTTTTTATTCCTAGCCCTCTATTTTCTTCTTCTTCTTCTTCTTTTTTTCTTTTTCTCTTAATCGACTAGCGACACCTGCATTCCAGTATCTGTCGATAGCCTTGCAATTGCCGATTTACTGCTCGGAAAACGCTGCCGCCGCCTGTGCCATCGCCTCCCTGCTCCCCTCCCGGCCACCCACCAACCGTTTAGCGCGGACGATAAGGGGTATACCTACCAGTGATTGCGACGTATAGCGTTGACCCAGATGACCAGCCCTGATACGTGAAATTCAGCGACTGGATCCGTCGACTATTATCGACTTTCTACACTGACCGTTGGCGAAGGCGTTTGGTGACCCTTGTGGCTGGTTGCCCGCCGGTATATATCGTGTCTGGTGCACTGTCTTGGTGCGCCCTTCATCACACGGTTCAACGCCTTCATACTACACATAATGTCCGTAGCGACTATGTTGCAACCGGCTTCCAGAACCTCCACGTCCTCTTCCTCATCATTTCAGCCAGTTTCGCGACAGAACACAATGTCTTCCCACGATACCCGGTCTCTCCGCCAATCCAAGCGGTTTTCAGTCACTGCACTGTACCTGTCGATGTCCGCGAAGGACAGAGACTTGGAAATCTCAGACGATTTGGCGAAGGGTAAGTTGACTATCTGTTCCCGCCATTGAATCCTGCTAATTTGTAACCAGCACAAAAGTATCTACGAGAACTCAAGTCAAAGATCTCATCACAATCGAAGAAGAACTTCGTCCTGGAAAAGGATGTACGATATCTGGATTCGCGGATTGCCTTACTTATCCAGAACCGTATGGCCCTTGAGGAGGTAAGAATATCGCTAGCTCGTAGTCGTGATGCCTAGCTAATAACCCCTAGCAAAATGAAGTTGCGAATCATCTCGACGAAGCCATTGATCCCCAGGAGGGTTTCTTCCCCAACGACGAGAAAACTCAGAAGTATGGCAATCTGCTCTTCCTTCTTCAATCCGAACCTCGTCATATCGCCCACCTATGTCGTCTCGTTTCCATGTCAGAAATCGACTCCCTCCTCCAGACGGTCATGTTCACCATCTACGGTAATCAGTACGAAAGCCGTGAAGAGCATCTCCTTCTTACCATGTTCCAATCTGTTCTCACCTACCAGTTCGATAATACTCCGGAATACTCCTCGCTTTTGCGCCAGAACACCCCAGTATCCCGCATGATGACTACTTATACTCGCCGTGGCCCTGGTCAGAGTTACTTGAAACAGGTCCTGGCCGACCAGATCAATCGGTTGATTGAGTACCGCGATGTCGACCTAGAAATCAATCCGCTGAAGGTGTACGAAACAATGGTCATGGAACATGAGGAGAAACATGGCTCGTTACCGGTGGATTTGCCGAGGTCCGTTACCGCAGAGGCTGCAGCAGAAAATGCCCAGGTCCAGGCCATCATTGCACCGCGGTTGAGGAAACTGACGGAGATCGCCAATGGATTCTTATCAACAATCATCGACGCGGTAGATGAGACGCCTTATGGTATCCGATGGATTTGCAAGCAGATTCGAAGCTTGTCTCGACGCAAATACCCTGATGCTCAGGACCAAACCATCTGTACCCTGATTGGAGGCTTCTTTTTCCTTCGTTTCATCAACCCCGCCATCGTCACCCCGCGGTCTTATATGTTAATCGATGCAACTCCTACAGAGAAGCCTCGGCGTACATTGACCTTGATTGCAAAGATGCTCCAGAACCTGGCAAACAAACCCTCCTACGCCAAAGAGCCATACATGGCCAAACTACAACCGTTTATTCAGCAGAACAAGGAGCGTGTCAACAAATTCATGCTGGATTTGTGCGAGGTGCAGGACTTCTATGAGAGCCTGGAAATGGACAACTATGTGGCTCTTTCCAAGCGCGACCTGGAGCTGCAGATCACTCTCAACGAGATGTATGCCACTCACGCACTTTTGGAAAAACACAGTGTGGCTCTTGCCCAAGACCAGCACTCGCACCTACATGAGCTCTTGAATGAGCTCGGCACGGCACCGACCCAAGTTCCACGCAAAGAGAATAGGACCATCACTGTTCCCCTCTTTAGTCGGTGGGAAGCAACCGTGAACGATCTGACATCCGCTCTGGACATTACCCAGGAGGAGATATTCTTTATGGAAGCTAAATCAACTTTTGTGCAAATCCTGCGATCTCTGCCTCAAAACTCAGTAGTCGCCCGCCGACCGCTCCGACTCGATCGCATTGCGGAGGCCGCAGCTACATTGAAGAACGATGCCGTCATGGTGCGGAAAGGTATTCGCACCATGGAACTGTTAAGTCAGCTACAGGAAATGGGTGTCATTGATCGATCTGATGAATTCAGCCTGCTTCGAGATGAAGTTGAACAGGAATTGGTGCACCTGGGATCTTTGAAAGAGAAGGTTCTGGACGAGACCAAGAAGCTCGAGGAAGTCTTTGCGACAATCCGTGACCATAACGCATATTTGGTGGGTCAGTTGGAGACATACAAGTCCTATCTGCACAATGTCCGTAGCCAGTCAGAGGGGAAACAGAGAAAGCAGCAGAAACATCAAGAGCTCGGGCCCTACAAATTTACCCACCAACAGCTTGAGAAGGAAGGCGTGATTCGAAAGAGTAATGTTCCCGAGAACCGACGAGCCAACATCTACTTCATGTTCAAGAGCCCATTGCCAGGCACTTTTGTTATTAGCCTGCATTACAAAGGTACGTACTCCGGTCCTCAACTCTACTTCTCTGTCACTGGTATCTCGAAGCTTCTTCGTTAATGGCATACTAACGAGGACTATTGAACAGGTCGCGCTCGCGGGCTACTGGAGCTAGATCTCAAGCTTGATGATCTGTTAGAAATGCAGAAAGATAACCTTGAGGATCTGGACCTGGAATACGTGCAATTCAACGTATCCAAGGTGCTAATGCTCTTAAACAAGCGGTTTGCACGCAAAAAGGCTTGGTAAGAGGCTTCTCTTGAAAGATCTCTACTCTATCCCATTACGATGTATATGAAAACGAGCGACTAGCTCGAGGGCGAGATGCCCGAGCCTCAGTCCGTGATTTTATTGTAGACTAACTTCACGGACTATGATTTGGTGCCAAAACAAACTGCCAGTACAGCAACGGAAGTGTGCTTTGTTTGAACCGCCAGCTTTATACGATAATCTGCACAAGGGTGCATATGTACCCTTTTTGACTGTTTCATGCCCCTCACAGTGAGCAGGATTGACGGGTTGCATATGGACTATGATCTGTTTTGAAATTTTTGTATCGAGATGTGACTATAGGAGGACTGTAATCTGCCGAGAAAGGGAGTTCCTTTGATTCCGGTGTGGAGAGACAAGTCCTTGCTGGTTCGAGGACAGTCGCCATGACGGGGATGATTGGATGGTTTGGCTTTACGTATACCCTGTTGGATGAATTTGTGTGTGTTTCTTGTTCCCGTTCTGATCTGATTTCCGTGGATGGCTCCGTTGTTGTTTTGGCCCAGAAGTCGCCTGTTATGTCAAAATCTCACTATTTCATGTACATCTAGCAATTGTTAAATTCATGACCAACCGCTTCAGGGAAGTGTATAATCTAATGCTATACTATCAGTCAGGCTGATGAATCCTATCATTTTTCGCAGCATGTTCTCGATTCACTTGACAACGATCCAGATGCAGTACATAAACCTCTATATGTGCCAAAGGCACTTTTCAAATCTAGCATTGACTTGATCATTATCATATTACGAAGTCAAGTACGTAGAAGATAGTGCGTTAATACAACCAATCATGGTTTGAGTTCGTTGCCATGAAACCCTAACTCTAGGTACATATTTACAAGCTTGCTTGTGTGAAGTATGGCAAGACCCCACATAGGCAAGTTTTCAAGTCTAGCTTTACGAAAATATACCTTTGCTTGGTCTATCTATGAATGTTATATGTGGATTTCACAGTGTCCAATGCCGCCAAGTTAGGTTGAAATATACATGCAAGTTATCTTTCATTCTCATTCCTTCGTTATAACATCGATAGTCGCGTATTTTCATCATCAATAGAAGACATACTTAGCAAGTGAAAATTCAAGACTGTATATACCTCTTCCCCTAACCATTGTGTAAAGGTGACCCTCGCAACTACTATACCTAGATATAAAGTGACGAGTCCCAAGAAGTATGTCCCAAATAGGTCAACCCCAAACCAGGGCAACAAACAAGACGGCACCCGCCGCTATGAGGGCTTTCAGGCCATTGCTTGATTCCAGGTTCGATCCTATAGACTTGTCTGTCTTTTCAGGCTTGTCTGTCGTGTCCGTCTTGTCTGTCTCCTGTGTTGTGCGATCCGGGACACCGCCCTTCCCTGGTTTGATCTCCATGATCTCATCAGGCGCTTTCTCCCATCGCCTTTGGGCCAGAGAAACTTCGTTATTTCCCATGTCAAAGACTGTGTATACCAACTTGAGGAAATTGGCTCCAATTATGATACCACCAAGCTCCTTACTACGCTCAGGTTCAATCGTCAAAAAGCTTAGATAGCAGTAATCCTCCTTATTCCTTTCAGAGTTCGTGGAGGAGGGAGCCTGTATTATGAACGGGTCGAGGGAGAAGTTAAGAGTTACGTTGCCGAAATAAAATGTTAGCAACTTATTCGCAGGTGGTTTGTCGCAAGGAAACATCGGCTGGCCGTTGTCATAAAACTCGGTGACGTTAAGCTGGGAAAACAGGTCTTGCGTGATCGCTTTAGGGAAACCGATGAAGTCAGTTGCGGAAGAAAAGACAGCCCCTGTGGGAAAAGATTCTGCCGAAATGGACTTCGTGTTGAAGTCTGCTCCCACGGACAGTCCGGTAAGATTGACCCGAAATAGCTTGCTGAGCTCTGGAGGCGATATAACCGGTAACGTATGGAGCTTATCGACATACTTGGCCTTGTTCACGCCACCGAAGAGAATGGTACCGGGTACATTGGTTCGCTCATGGTTCTCCTCCATCCACATGCTGAAGGTAGGGGATTGGATAGCTTTCGCATCAACCAATGCCTGGGTGACAGAGATGAATTCCGAGTTGCCATTGCTGTATCCTAGGCCGAGTTTATCTATTCATGGTTTAACCCGACTGCCGGATGGACTGAGCCCATGGATGTGGACATAGTTCGATGGAAAGCATTATCACAGGACAACTTGCCACCTATTGAGGCCTTCTCACGTAGAGTAGCAAACCTCATGGCTTCCAGTTTCACATCCCCAACGATCATCGTATCTGATATTAGATCAATATTCCCCACATCCTCCTGGTCGAATCCGTCGACGGTGGCATTTGTCTTTACTGTTCGGCTGCTAGTTGAGGCGCTCGCATTATACCCACCAAGGATGCCTTTCTCTATGTATCCTGCCAACTCTTCGTTATCTCTCACTACCACCCAATTGCTGTCATCAAGAGTGGAGAACTGGGCTTTCAATTTCTGTAGTGGGCTTCCGACGGATGTGTTAGCGTAGAAGAAGTCGTTCTATATAAGTTATAATGGTCAGGACAAGCAATTTTCTGTGTGCTCGACGAGAACGAGTAAACAGTTTTACTGCACATACCCCGTAGAATTCTAGATTGACAATACGTTCCCTCTTCTCACGACGGTCATGATGATAGTAAGTACCTGCGAACCGCCTGCCCTCAAAGGGCACCACCAGCACGGAAGGCGTGCCCTTCTTCTCCAGCATTAGGGCATAGGTATATTAAGCAGCCCCTAGGGCCAGGCACCAAAACTTAATCATGTCGATCAATCTTAGCATGCAATTCCGGTAATCGTTGCTTACAATCCATCGATAGTGGACCTGAGAAGCCTTTTATCCTTTGAAATTGGGTGAGGGGTCAAATTACTGAAACAAGGCCAGCTCTTATTTTAGATAGTTAAAATGGGTTGGAAGTCTCTTGCTTTTGTTCCATTGGGCACCATGATGTAACGTTTGCTCGGCACAACTTCAAATAGACTCCCAATCCGCCATTGATTTGAGGGCTATGTATACTTCTTTGTGGGAATTGATATGGTGAGGGGGAAGAACTTACCATGTACGTCTTGGAAGGCTGATGTAGAGCCATACAGCATTCATTGTCCCCATAGATGGCAAGGATGGGGCACTAGGTTACCATCAAAAGCTGAAACCGACACAAAGAAGTTACTGAAACTTAATTACATCAATATGCTGCAGGAAGATTCAATTGGTCCAACAGTCTTCCCAAGCAGGCCAAGATGGTGGAAAGGAAAAGTGAGTCTAATGATGACGTTCAGCTAGATGGAAGTCATGTGGATGCAGCACGTGAATTAGTATAGTAGTTCTAATATACAATTGGGAACACTATTTCCCCGAGTTTAAAATATTCAGCATAGACAGAAAATTTACAGTTGGGCTTGTGATATCAGATAAGAAACGTCCAAAAGCTGGGGAAAACTAGTTCCTCCTCGAAGATGCGACGGACCTGGGCCAAAACGAAGCGCTCAACCTTGCCGACATTCTTCAGGACTTGCTTCCCATCTTCCTTCCGACCAATCTCACTTTCAACTCGGATTTCTTGCAATAAGCCTCCCTGGCGCTTCGGGGAAGCGGTCGGGTCAGCATTAGACCATGGGCGATCGTCCTGGCCTCTCGCTTCTTGCTGGTCAGACCCGATCAGTGCATCCGCATCTTCCGCGGACAAAAAGCAGAAATGAACTCGTTTTCGGATGTACGCGATGACTGCAACTCCGTCAAAAGTGATTCCCGTTACGTTGAGTTTCAGCGGCAACCCCACAAAACTAGGCATGGGATAATCCAGAAGAATCTCTGCGGTTAATGATAACCGCACATCCCCGGCGTATTTAGCGTGGCAAAGGACTTGAAAATCTTCCGGTCGGCGCTCTCGCATGCGAGGAGGCAGCCGAAGAGGATGTCCTGAAGCCATAGGGTCCTCCAGATGTTCATCTTCGGCGAGTGGCCCGTGTTCCTTTCCTGTTGTGGCATCACCGCTGGGTTGATTGGACGCGGATGGATGAGAAGGGAGCGTACTAGAGGTCGAAGGACGTGAGGTAGGATTGCTAGTGTCGATATCAACTTCCATGCGAGATGGATGCACCGCAGCCGCGCCAGAGATGGTTGGATGGCCCCTGTTGCTTGCGCCCACTCCAGGGTCGGTCCAACCGTTGGCAAATGGTGTACCACCTGCAACCGCGGCAAGGGGAGTTTGTGTCCCTGATAATCCACCAAGGGACATAAGGTGGTACCCTAACGTAGAAGTTCCGCCAGGAATACCTGGAGTGCCCGCACGGGGAAGGAAGTGAGGGTTCAGGTGTTCTATTGGTGAGCGCAAAGCCGATGAGTGGAAAGCTTCGTCGAATGGGTCCCGTAACGGGCGATTCATTGCCATTTCCTCGTGAAATATGGGTTCGGTGTGTTCCCGGTGCCACTGGGTACCATGCCCGGAGACCAGCTCCTCGGACACATCGGACGTTTCGTCATCTTCATCCTCCTCATAGAAGTCGGTAAACGGTTCACAGATATCTTTCACTTCAAGATCAGGGGGTATAGTCCCGAAGTCGAACGAGTGAACTTGAACTGATCGGATAAATCGTGGGAGGGCCACCTGCTGGAACTTGTCATGGATGAAGGAGCGGATTCGTTCGGCCAGAGCCTCACCGTCCGGCCCAGAGGTGGCTGTCCTCCAGTCAACTTCGATTGACATTACATGTGCAGCAGGCAATTATTCGGCGCGAAGTGGGCAAAAGAGGGGTTGGTATGTGAAAGCGAGCAATCGCTTGGACGAGAGAGGACCGGAGCTGGTGGTGAAATTGCGCCGCAATGCGAGACTCCACAGGGATTAATTTAGGCGCAGTCGCCGCGGACCAACTCGCGTCCCGCGCCAGTCACGTGATGACGCAGTAACCTCATCGATGACATTGTAAACCAGCAATGGGCGTCTTCCCATGGCATTTCCCGGCCACAATCCCAAAGTACAATGTCCAAGGATATCCCAGGCACCTCTTAAGGGTCTCAAAATCCCTGGTAACCCCCTTTGAAGGGCATTTACGATGCACGCGGCTTTCACACCGCTCTAGGTTTACCTGACCCAGTACTTTGGTTCACCAGTGCAGCCGACGCCATTTCGGGGCATATTAGAGGATGGCACAATCTCTGCGGCGCCGTACGGTGGTAGCCCTGGAACAGCGTGTTCGCCGGGCACAAGGGCCTACAACAAGCCTGCTCTAGCCCCCTCTCTTCCTGCCTTCGGCTCCTCGAACCTATCCATCGGTTCCACTTCACATCCGATTAGTACCCAACATTCAAGATTCTAACCACTATCATTGGTGATTTTCACTCATGAATCACACTCATCCATTCCCTGCTATGACTCTTTTGACAGGGGGCTCTCCCTATGATTGACTTTCTAGCAAGCATCTTGGTGTCTGATTGTTCGCCTGCCGCAACGTCTTTTCCCTCTTGAGGGGGCACGTTGTACCGCAGTCTCCTCGCCTTGCTTTTCTTTCAAGAGATGGTGATAGACCTTCTTGGCGCAGAGGCGAAACGCCACGTATGTATCTGCTGCTTCTTGCGGTGGGCTGGCAGACGCTACCGCATCGGGTCCGCAGGACACAACGCAGTCCTTTGTGCGCACCTTGGAAGGAAGAATATCCCGCCCCTCAATCCGCAGCAGAGCAGTTCTCTGGCTTAAACGTCTGTCTTATAATTCAAAATTCTTATGGGTCTCTAACTGCGGGATTTGACCCATCACTTGCGCATCACTTTCCAAAGACAGTTTAACACATGATCCTCCAGAACCTAATATACGTGCGCACCTCACGCTCACTGACTCGGTATCTCTATTATTTCGTTGGCTCTCAATCAATTTGGATCGCCACTGGATAACAAGCGTCTGTGCCCCGTTTCATTATTTGATTCGACGAGCCTGCAATCAGATGATGAGAGACGTATGCGGTACTAATGCAGCCGCTGACATACATTGCTAATCATAGTTGCCAAGAGTGGGTTTTAAAGAAGAAATTTTTTTTTTTTCTGAAAGAAATGCTCTTGGAGTTTGTAATTGTTCCGTAGGAGCGGTTGGACCGCCTCGCTCGCAAATGATGACAACCGGCAGAAGGTGATTAAGATGAAATCGAGCGCCCCTTGTTCATACCTTGGATAGGCTCCTTTACATTCTTGTCTTAACGCACTGTGCCCAGCGATGAACAATGAGATTGGGAAAGCCCGCCGTTTCATGATATGCATCCGGTGCTCATAAGCTTATTCTTCCACATGAAATGCTCAACAACTGAAGTTGGCAATAGATTTAGAAATATGTAGTGAGGCATTTGTCCTGTTATAGGGTATACGGATCTAGGATTTGCCTTGGCCATCACCGTGACCACGACAGTATTATTGTAGAGATTTTGAAGCTAGACAACCTCCAGAGAAGTTATCGTTGAAGGCTAGTATGATCGATCTTCCAACGCTTGACGGGTAAAAATCCTTCAGGATTATGGGTCCAAATAATGGATCCATCGCATCAAAAGGTCGATCCTTGTGACTTCATTGTGTAACTCTTTGCACACATAAGAGTGAATAGAAATCACTATCAGGGAGTCCAGTACCTTACTTACAGCGTATCCTCGTCTCAGTTCAAGAAAATAATATAATCAGATCAGAAATGTAGGATTCAGCTAAACAACTTCGACATACGGCGCAGCAAATGCCTTAGTAGAAAAGACGCAGCAAGAACAACAAATAAGCGACAATGTGGCTTTAACAAGAAACCTTTGCCTCAGTAGTAAGTTCACAGGGCACATCACAGAAATGAAACAACAGGAGGATGCGGATAGGCGCTTGCAACCAGTAGTAACCACAAAACAGAACAATGCGTACGCTATGAGGGAAAAGCCGAGCCGGGGCATTCATGGTATTGACAGACGGCAAATAGACACAAAACCCTTTTTTTTTCTTTTTTTCTTTTTTTCTTAGTTCCCGATTAAGCTCTCGTAATCTCCAAAATGGTTCGCTTGGATACATCGAAGTGTTTCAAAAATACAAAATTCGAGGAGTATTGCGCGTGCCGTGGCACTGTAGTATTGACAAAGACTGGACTAAGCGTGCTTCTGGAAGCACATATCGAAAGGCGATGGGTGAGGTCCCACAATCCCCTGGCCTTTCTGGACCCAGTTAGCGAGAGCTTTTCGAAACGGCCGCCACAGTTGAATTCCTCCTACCAGTAGCTTTTCTAGTCCCTAGCCACCATGAGCAGGGCAGTTGTAGCCCTCACGGCGCCGGACTTGCTGTCTCACGCCGGTGCAGGATGTTCCTCGCTTTGCGCAGTAGACAACATCCCCTTCGGGGTGAGTGCAGCCGCAGTCATACTTGTAGAAGTATTGCGAACACATTCTGAAGACTTGAGGTTGATGGAGCTGAAGAGGGCGGGCTTATTGAAAGATAGAGAAAGTCAAGCCGACTCGATCGAGCAACTTGTAGATTTCAGAGAGGACGAAAGATGTCGAGCTCAAAGATCTGCTTCGAGGGTAAGACTAGAGATGAAATCGCCGTGTTGTTGTCCTAGTAGTTCGACGGATTGTGAGGACCTTAAATAACAATTGCTCGGTCTTGCTTTTGTACCAAAATGATAGAGAATGACTGCGGACAGCTGTGCCGCAATAGCACCATTTACAAGAAATAACAAAAAAGGTACCAAAGGGGGCTTGGAATAAATAATTATAATAATAATAATAATAAAAATGATCTTTAATAAAAAAAACAAGAAGCCGGCGCAGAAGAATGAAAGTAAGAACAAGGTTAGTCAAAGATCTCAACTACGGACACAGCGCCTTTCCTTTTCTTTTCTTTTCTTTTTTTTTTCTTGCGCCCCCATCCACAAAGAGACACTTAGACAATTGCGCCGGAGAAGTTGGTGACGCGATCTACATCACGCCCAGGGGAAGATTTCAACGAATGAACCAAATGGTAAATTGAGCTTCCACAGAACTACTGCACGGAGTTTCCCCAACACCAAACAAGATTGGCGGCTATGCGGATGGTCTGTGAAGGTGGTGTCCACCCGGGGTTGGCGTAAGACGGTTCTTACCAGAGTAAGCCATAACTGTGGTGGCCAGAGTGACAACGAAACTTCAGTTGTAGCCCTGTCGGGAGCTTCAATAGACTTTCGCAGATGCATCATGAGAAACTTTGACATCATCTTCAGGACAAGACCCATGCATCAGGCAGGGAAGGGCCGGTCACATATGCAAATAAAAAAGCCAACAATTGCGCTATCAAATCAGTTCTCGCAGCCAGCCAACAGTACTCACACAGTTTAGGGTCATGCCGCAATCAGGCACTGCTCCTTAATGGACATCTGACGAATGTCACGCAGTAGCTTACCTAGATTTATCACTAGACTTATCACAGAAATCTCTTTATCATGTGTACCTCAAGACCCCAGTTGATGGATGGAGGGGCAAGAATATCCCCCAATCGCCCAACCTGACCGGCCCGTTATCAAAGTCGATAGTCATCGCCAGTCATGTCTCCCGCCTTGCAAGCAGTGTGCCTGGCACCATCCCGAAGGACACTGCGGTAATACTTGACACATGGGCCACCTGCTCCAGTCAGGGTGCCACAGTTTCTGGGCATATGCCTGTCTGACAAAGCCATCAACAAACGAGGAGTACCAATAGGGCTCCGCTAAGGCATATTGGAGAAACTGTAGCCAAGGTTCGCAGACTAGAGGGAATAATCTGCAAGAACCGCATAGCCATCACAGAGATATTGGCCTTGGTGCCTTGAACGGACCAATACCTGGGGCAGAGGAGCTAAACGCAGTTGGTGATACCTGCAAGACATGAGCGAACTCTTTCCCACCCTCGGAGACAAGAGGGGGATCGCACGATAGCACGACACCCTCGGAATTCAGATCAAGTGAGACTATGCGGTTCCTGCCTTATGACGGCCCCATTTGATGGCCATGTTGGTGTGATAATGGCACAGGGTTTCCACTGCCGGCTAGTCTAGCGTTCGGCAGTGCAAGAGAGCAAATCTCCGCCTATCGATTTCTCGTGTTCTTCATAACCACCTAAGCTGGAAAGCTCGGTGTCAACTCTAATTGAGTGACAATTGAATTCAGAACGACTGCACCGCATTGCGGCGCTCATCCATTGGGGAGTAGATGATCATTCTATGGTCAACGGCAGTCACATTTGGCCCTCTCAGCCGCTAAGCATCCGCGCCACATAGTGGACGGTCGAGCGATACGGCGCGGAGACAGGGGGCGCTAAATCTGCGACAATTAGCACCTCAAACGGGGAGGGCACGGCCCCAATTTAGCCGCCGTTGGCTTTTGCGCCAGAACATAGTGGATAATCAGAAGCTATTTGGCTCCGAGTGTTTGGGGTTTATCTTGCGGCAACTGGAGGCTCAGAGCACGTGATGATGTTGTGCTGCGGTTTGAGAGCCGCTTGTTCACTTGGGCTCTTTTTCTCTCCTTTTCTCTTCTTTTATTTTATGCTACTTACTTTCCCAAGCCCATGATCTCCAACGATGTTTCTGATTCTTGCAGGTTTAACGGGCGTTGCCGAACGTTGTGTTGAAGCACTTATCGCTTACTATGTCCTACCATGGACAAAATGTACTGAATTCGTCCAACTGACATCATTTTGGAAGAGGACCGTACATTTAGTCAGCCAACAAAACAAAACAAACAGACCCCCAGCTTTCATTTCCCCCAATGTGGCTGAAACTTCCCCTTGCTTGGGTAATTTAACTTATCCCTTACCGTTCGCATCCCTTCTAGAAAGCGTCAGGAAAAAGTGTCAGCTCAAGCATGCTGCCAAGCGGGCGAGACTCATTGGTTGGGGTCATGTGCCCTGAATACTAGTAGTCTCTTGATAAGGAATGTGGGAGGCAGAAAACATTCTGTACACCGTCGTCCCTTCTGGGTACGCGGAGTGACCCTCAGCCTATCGATCACCGATAGTAATCCAATAGTCCCGGCACGTTTCTTGGCTTCGCTTCCTGGTTGCTGATCACCCGAGGCTGATTTTTCGGGTCGTATCGGCCCAGATGCTTGTACAAGGGACAACACCTCAGCTTGCACAACGAACGGCCAGCTTCGGCTTGGCAGGTTACTGGGGATTCCCCGGATACTTGAGGGAGCTATGCACATATTGGCGACAACTCACCGGGTCTTTCCTGAGCCAAGAACCTTGAAGGAAGGGGGGATCTTCCAACAATGACGTTCTCTGCCCCGCCGAGACATGAAAGAATGTTCGAAACATGTGAATTACAGCCTGTCCCGGTCCACCTCGGGGAAGTAGATTGGGATGTTCAACCTCTGTATGGAGTAATCTGGGACTCTCCACTATCTCTGCAAGTGGGATGGACACAGATCGACGTCCCTCCCGGTATCATCCATGAACCTTGTCGACCCCTCTTCCCTCCTGAGGATCTTGGCTGTTTCCCTCTCATGTATAAATAGGTAGCCGAGTCCAACCGAGAAATCTCTTCAGATCAATCTCAAGCCTCTTCTTTCTCTCCTTCAGTCCAAAGCTCTTTCAGTGTTCTAAAGACTTCAAAGCCATCTACTCTTCTATTCTGCCTCTTTCCCAGTCCCAAAAGACTAAGCAGATACCAATCTACTTTTCAAGATGTATACCTACACTCCTACCCACAAGTTCCTCGTTCTCTCTCCCATCCACTCTGGTCCCATGAATGACCAAGTCGAGAGCAAGGAGCCAACTCAAGTCCGTGAACGCTCCAGCAGCCAGTCTTCCACGACTTCCACCGGATCACAGCTGAGGGGTGTCTTCTCCCCTCTCCCCGGTGGCTTCCTCTACCTGGGACACGAGCAAAACCGGAACTAAATTCTAACGCCACATAAGCTCGCGCACGCCATCCCACTTCACCAATCGCGCTGGACACGATACATCTGCGAGCGACTCGGCCCAAATCCACCCTGCACCGGACGAAGGGAAGGAGCACTAGCGGTTTCATTTCTCTATTGTTTTCAAACATCGTTTCTTTACGAGATGGCATTTTATCTCCTTGAAGGATTCTTTTTACTGTTTCGGTGTTTATCTCACCATATCAATGATACCACACTGCCAGGGGAAAAGGTGGGGGGGAGTGAAGCATGAAGTGAATGTTTGCCAAGGAGATGTTGATATAGTTGCCAAGCCCTGTGCAATGAAATTGAAAGTCAATAGGCTGTCCTGCGTTGTTCCACAGCCAAGCAATAATAGATTCAAGATCGACTTCGTCTATCAACCTGCCAAGATCCCTTGTTTGTATCACGTATACTTCATAAAAAGTAGAGGGGAAAAAAAGTACGAAGCTATCCCCCAGGGTCCTCGTTCTCCGTAACCCCAACTAGGCAAAAGCCCGCCGCGGAGTAACTCGAAGAGGGAAAATCGCCAACGCTACCTATCTCAAGCTTACTGTAGCTTACTGAATCTACCAATCAATCCATGCGGATCCTCAGATCCTCATTTTTCAGGAGACACGCACCATCTGTTAATAATCCGCAAGTTACTATTACGATAACCTAAAATTCTAGATTGTCGCCTTTCCCGCGGAAAGACTTACCCCGTCAAGTCAAAACACCCACACTCGCATCGCTTAAACCCGCAAGGGAAAAGGGAAACAATGAAAAAATGAAAAAAGAAAATTCAACCCGAAATTGCATCATCGTCATTATCACTGATAAGCCGAAGCCAACCTGGAGGTGGGGTGTGGGATCGACAACCCCTTCTAGACCAGAGGGATGTCGGTGTAACCCACCCTCCCTCGAGATACTATGCAAGAATGCTTTATTTGTTATCGTTACTTTCTTGGCTGTTATGTGTACACCCTTAACTGCATAATCTGGGTGGCACACTATTTTCTACTGTGTGCATACGTACGTCCATAGGCATGCTGTGCTCATCGGTTAGCGCAAGATCAGATGTATCATACTTAGGGTTCCTACTCGCATGTTTGCCAAGATGGGGTCTGGAGGTCATGGGATTGGGGCTGAGTAGGACGGAAAATAGCATACTTACTGCAAGATAACATCATAGTTTATTTTTCTTGTTTTCATTTGTTTATTTGTTTGTACTTACTACTTCTTCTCTTTGGGCGAGGAGGATGTTGGAAGATTAGTTAGATTCAGGGTATCGGAGGTTCGAGATCTGTTTCTAATCACAGTCTCAGCAGCTTCATAGAGTCAATTGTTTACAACATTATCTCATTTGCCTTCTCTCCCAGCCACCCCCATGCCAGCAGCTGTTAGACAATAGAAAAGATTCACTATAACTAGCTCAGAAAGCTAATACATCTGACAACTCCGCCCACCCAGGATGGTCTTCTTCACTCCAAATGCTCGGGGTAGCAGAGATTGGACTTCATAATAAAAAGTACAAGGGCGTTTCTGAAACGCTTATCTGGGCCATAAGCCGAGGGCTAGAGGCGCGACGACCGGAAAGCTATATGGACTAGGATCTCTAGATCTTATATAGAGCTCAACCCCTGTTGCTTGTTGTCCGCCCCCAACTGCTGGGTCAGTGTAACCCTCGAGCGTTTTCTCTGCCCATCTTGACAGTTCATGTGCAAGAATGTAAAACATATGTATATTCGTTTGAAAGTAACATGTATCAGTAGCTGACCACAGACATGGTGGTTGAGGAGGGACTCACAGGATGACACATTAAGAATATATATACGAGAAATACTCCTTTTTCTCTCTCTTCTTGTTATAATGATAGCTATTATTATACCTCAGTTGAATTGCATATCCCTCCTGCAATATCACCTAACCTAAGTATGCCTCATAACTTTGCCGAAGAAGCTTTTTCATAGCCGACTATCCTCTAGACTATATCGCTTGAACTGAAGGATGTACTACACCCATGTTCTAAATGGCTTCGTAAATCTCCCTAGATGGGGCACTGCTCATCCATGTATCGACCCCTCCTAAGCCTCATTGAACCAGAATCTCACTCTAATGATTAGATCAAAACTTGGACACATTCCTTGCTAATAAAAACACTTTGTTATATTATTTGCATGTTTGGAGATTCAATAAGCCTCGGTGGAGAAGACCCAAGATAACAAGAGCCCATTAGATCGCCCAACCCGCTTGCCCCAGACTTGCATGACTCTAAGAATATATAACCAGAATCACATACCAGTATGTCAAATATACCTTGCTCTTACTCCAACACTATATGAAATGCATCTGACCACCCCACAACACACACTCATCCACAAACAGTATACACACCAAAGCCAACAACCAACGCTTAAATCTATAAATATCAGCAAACGGCCCGAACATTCAAGATCCCTGTCAATCTGAAGATCCTCTTAGCCGAGATTCTTGGCTGCTACCCAACGGCCGCGTCCAACAATGGGATTATAAATGAGCATGAAACGAGCCAAGTATTATCCATTGTGAAAGATTGTTATACACCAACATTGGACACAACGTGAGTTGTACACGTTATGCCCCGTTGTTCTTGTGACTTGCTTCCATTTGTTTCTATGGGGCCAAACACATGCTCCGCCTCGTCCGCCTCGGCGCGTAGTGTTTCAATATAGACGCCGTTGCGAAGTCAGTCAACAGGTATATTATTACCTGAAGATCTATTCATAGATTTCCAATACGGTATTAGGCAGTGTAGGGCCTCCAGGTAGGATTCAGGAATCTTCCAATTAATATGTTACTGTATTAAAACTAGGCATGGGTGTTTGCCGGTATAGAAGCAGATCAGCGTATATGCCCCAGCTGAATGTACATTCTCAAGCATGAAAGTTGTCACTGATATCAAACAATAGAGAGGTATATCTAAGGTGGGGGGGGGGGGGCACGACAATGAATCACACATGTGAGAGGTCTCCAATGGCTAGTAAACATATTAAATTACCCTCAAATAGTCCTGCTCAGCTAAGATGTCCGCCATGTCATATCAAAAGCCCCTCTCTTAGGAGGATCGTGACTTGGTAACAGTGAAGACAAGAAGTTAGAAAAGTTGCTCAAGTAAAAAGAAAAATAGACGGGATCAATTTACAGTCAGGGCTATAATAACAGGGAAAGAAAAAAAATTGAACAAAGGAACTAAAAAATTTATTCTGACAAAGGAAAAATAAAATAAATAAAATAAAAAGGCTAAACATGGATATGTATGCGGGAACAAAGGTTGCTGGTACAAGAGAGGACAAACCGATAGCTGCAACAGAAGGGGACGAAAGCTGCTGGGTATCATGGGGTATCCAAATAGCCTCTCTGCTCTTTTATTGTTGGGAATCTAGGAGCCTGGTCGACTCGAATCCTCCTTCCAAGTGTGATGTTCGATGGAGATGGGCCTTATTCCATCTTGCGCGTAGAGCTCTAAAGTCCTACGTGGACGACACGGCATCTCGGCAACGGGTGGGATGTGTTAAAAGTTGTTGGACATCTTCACATATTCAAATCCCGGAATACAGGGGTGAAGCCAACAACCAGAATAGCCAGTTTGTTTTGATTGGTGTTGCATGGGCACACCAAAATGTTGACATGTTAACCTATCGGGTTGGTTGAAGAGAAATAGAGAAATAAACAAAGATAATCTTGATCTAGCGGTCATCGCCAGCCCTCGACTTCGCTCGTCGACGGAAGAAATCCATCACTTTCCTGGCCGCACCAGAGCTGCCAGAGTGGTGTGTTGAATCGCGCTCATACTCATAGGCATCGGCAAATTTCCGATGATTTTTTTGTAGGACACTGGCCCCTCTTGTTGGTCGGGCAACCGACGTAGATTGCCGAGGCACGCTGTCATATGGGCCATTGTATTCTTCGTAGTAGTTCGGTGTCGAGTGATTGGCGTATTGGTTCCGATAATAGTGATCATTGTCGTTCTGGTACACCTGCTCAGCCGAGTAGGACGCTGGTTGATACGTTGCAGATTGGGTCCCATGCAGCACCGCAAACTGCTCATCAATACGGGCCTGGTAGTTGATGGGCTCATCTTGGACGAAGACCTCATCTGCCGGTGCCCCTTCTGGCATGACTCCTATTGCATCTTGTGTTCCGTGGCTGGTCGCACGTGCACGGGGTCGTAGTTCCCCGGTTGATGGTTTTTGCGGAGCCCGATTATCCGTGGAGCGATCAGCTTGCGACTCTTCATCAGGGGTTTGAGATCTACTCGAAGAAAGACCCTTGAGGGAGAATGACGCCGGCAAGAGGGAGAATCTACGAGGCCGACTCTCGCCACCTGTTTCGCTCGTCTTCCGGTTTGATCCATATTGCATGGATCGCCGTGAATCCATAGACATCCGGGGCATATCGCCACCATAAGGGTCTCTCATACTTGTAGGAGGATAACGTTTGCCACTTTTTTGACGAGCATTTGCCTGTCCACCACGTCCTCCAAAAATGGACCCAGACCGCCCAAACAATTTCTCGCCAATTCCCGAGACAGTATTCGATCTCTTGTGACCTTTCGGGGGCTCTTGTCGGGGGGTTGTATTGAATTTTGCAGGAAGAGCCTGGGTGCTCGGACGGCCGATCGACACCGCAGCCTGTTGTGAAGGATCCTGAGGGATGGGGTTCGAGATAACATATTGCTTGCTCTTCGGTTGTGCCAGCCGACCATGCGCATTGGTTGCCGCCACAGTGGGAGCCACGGGCTGTCCGTAGGATCCTCGCGACGGTAAACGACCGGTATTGAATGAAGACATGGACGCACCCGTAGTAGGCCGCATAGATTGTGGTTGGGGCATTGTCCCGGCTCCCGTAAGTGCTGTCGAGTCCGAAGTTGAGAGAGGCAAATGCCCAGATGGTGGGCGCTGTGCCTTGGAATCTCCGACCTGTGCGCTTGGCGCCATAGGCGCGCCTTGCTGTACGCCACTGGTAGGTGAGACAATCTCAGCATCTCGGCTAATTGACCTTGCTCCAGTGGGCGCATGCTCAGCGGTTTCAGCAACACTCGATGGCCCTGCCGTGGTTGATCCCATGCCATCCCCTCTCGTAGTCTGAGACGAAGGAGCAACATATTCGACCTGAACGGTTCTCCGTTTCGTGTCCCGGGTAGTCTTGGAGCTCTCGGCAGGTTGTTCCTGTGAAATATCGCCAGCGTGGTGAACAAGGCCGCCCAGAGAGGGGACTGTGTTTTGATAGGTTTTAGGAGGCTCCCTAACCGACGCACTGCGTCCGAGGGATGGGGCCTCTTTAGGTTGTTCTGCTGGAGGCAACAAATTAACAGGTAAACAGTGTATACGTCCCGAGAGCGCCGTACCATGAGAAACGGTTGTAGTAGCAATATCAGCGACCTTGGTTGTACTGCTAGTTATGTGTGATACAATGTGCGAGTACTCGTTAAGCCAACTATGCCGTGCAACCTCGAACAGATCTGCTCGCTTCCGCGGATCCGGGACCAATATCCGTCTCAAGAGATCACGGGCATGTGGAGTCACATACTCGGGGAACGTGAGAGGAGTCGTGACGATATACTTATAGAGGAGGTTGATGTTATCACCGTCCGGATTGGCGGGGTCATCATCGAATGGTAGATAACCAGCAAGCATTGCATACTAAGCAAGCGGACATGTTAGCTTCTTCAACGTGTAGGGTGGATTACAAACAAAAAACGCCATCGGTTCAGGTCCTTACCAAGATGACACCGCAGCTCCAAACGTCCACTTTACGTCCGGTATACAGCGAATCGCTAACAACAAGCTCTGGTGCAGCGTAACAGGGACTCCCACAGCTGGTTTGCATCAAATCACCACGCCTTAAGCCCTTGGCATTAGGCTTGTCAAGGCGCATCCTCTTTACAAACTCCTTGTTCGTAAGATTATATTCGATCTCCTCGCCTAGCTCATCTATCGGATCGAAGGTGTTCGCGAAGCCAAAGTCTGTGATGATGATGTTACGATTTCGATCCAGCAGTAAGTTTTCCAACTTTAAGTCTCGATGGACAATGCCCTTTTTGTGGAGGTAACCAACTCCAGATACCAACTGCGCAAAGAGACGCCGAGCTGCATTGTCTTTGAGATACCGGTTATTCAAGATATGATCGAAAAGTTCGCCCCCAGACGCATATTCCATGATGATACCGATGTGCTTATCAGTCTCCACCATCTCGTGTAATCGGACAATGTTGGGATGGGAAAGGTCGCGTAATATCGAAATTTCCCGGTAAATCTTGGGCAGCCGGCTGGGGTTCGATCCGAGAGACTCCCTCCGTATTAGCTTGATAGCCACTTGGATACTGCCATCCCTCTTCCACCCCAGCTTCACTTTCCCGAACTCACCCTCTCCCAGTGTTTGTCCTAAAATGTACTGACCGAATGTTGTCTCTTTCCGCTTATTTGAATTCTCGTTGTAATCATGCCGACTCCGCAGCCCGCCGCGACCTCCATCATCTACGCCGTCACTACCCACCAAGCCCAGCCCAGGGGTTGGAGTACCATCAGTCGACGGTGATACCGATGTACCAGATTGTCGGACCTGTTCTCGCTCGACGTCCACCGACGGGTCGCTTACCATGACTTGATTGATCGATGTGCTCGATTCCTTGACCAAGGCCCCTTGGCCCGGCAATGCCTCCGTGGGGTTTTCCGAGCGCATGGGCGCAGAAGACGAAGCTGCCTGGCTTCGACTGTTCACCCCTCCCACCCCTCCGGACTGGTCTTCGGACGTTCTCGGGGCTGGTCGCCGGGACCGTGAGTCCTCTCTTCTCCTTTCGCGGTGGTTTGCGCTCCGCTCGTCGCCTTTGCTCTTCCCTTGGCGCGATCCTGGGACTCTCTCGCTTGAGCCGTGACTCCGCTGCGTTGAAGACGTCCTCGGTGGTGGAACGGGCGGTGCACCGAGAAGGTCCGGGTATATTGGGGATCGGTGGTTGTTCTGGGTGGGCGCAGGCGCCGCCGAGGTCAGGGCTGGGGATGCATGAGCGGTGTGTGGCAAGGACTGCGATTGGAGGTCGTTCATAGCCGAGAAACCTGTCGGGGCCAGGACAGAGAATAGCTGCTGATAACTTAGCGCACTGTTCATGATACCTCCGAATGTGTGATTTGACGGTCACGGCTACTGCATCGACCCGGAGTGGGGATTTGAATAATGACGTGACGCATAACTGAAGTGTGAGGCTGATACAAAATTCTGACGGGAATGTAAAGTAGTAATAGTGGTGGGGTGGGCTGTTGTGAAATGAGGAACCGTTTGCATAGCAGGCGACATACCTCGTTTAATCAAGGCGCCGCAGTGGCTAAGGGGAAATGATACTGCGTTTCCGAGACAGCTTCTCCGAGCGCGTACACAGAGTTTTAAGTGACCACTTCACTTTGATTGACCAATTGCGATCGGCGGTTGGAAGTTGATATATCAAAGCCCTCCAGAGGGTTGTGTGATTTTTCTTTTTCTGTTTCTTTCTTTCTTTCTTTCTTTCTTTTTTTTTTGTGTAAAAAAGGCCTGCCCGCTAGATTCGAGTGCTAGCTGCTGGTCCGTTCGGTCGGGCACCTAAGCTATTGTTTTAAGTTAGTTCAACGATGGTCGGAGCAACCGATAAGGGGTGTCAAGGGTGACCACTGACAACCACCAGCGAAACAATTCAAAATGATATCACAGGCAAAAGCAATCCAAGTAATTGTTGGTATTTCGAGGACACCAGGTCAATAGTCCAACGGCCAACAGAGGCAACGAAAGCACACGCGTAAAGAGGACCGATCGATTGATGGCCTTCCAACGTTTTCCTTTTCTCATCAAATGTTTATAGAAATTTTGTTTTCTTACCCACAAAGCCAGACGAGTAGGGTATATCTGCACTGCAGAGTTGCCTCTCGTAATTCACCTCTCTCCACGACTATCTACTACCCAGTTGGGTAATACAGTTAAGAGTGGGTTGCGGCTCGAAAGAATGTGAGAACTCCGGAGACGAGACCGACAAACGCGGGCGGAGAAGCAGCCTCGGGAGACGCGATTTCAACCACCACGAGCCCACTTCTCGTTCCTACTGAGTCGAGGTTGGCGCGAAAGTTCTCTTTCCACGGCGCTTCACCGGCTCAACACTGCTGGACGAATTGACAAGGCAGAGTGTAGGCTGTGACGAGAAGCATGATCGACTTGAAGGAAAAGAATTAAAGAAGAAGCAAGAGGGGTGGTCGTTGGTGGAGGTCGACCCTCTGTGATCCGGAGAGCGGACAGGGGGGCGGCGCGAGGGGAGATGAAGAGCTCGGCGGGAAGTGAACCAAACCCCAAAAAAAGAACGGGTCGCGGGAGAGGATGGACCTCGACAGGGTGAAATAATTGACACCCAAGGGAGGAGCGATAAAACCAGGGGAAAAAATATAAAGAAAGAAAGAAGGGGGGAACAAGAAAAAAGAAAATGGTAGGAAATGGTAGGAAAAGGTAAACGAAGAAAGGATGATGGTTGGGAGGGAAGGGAAAGACAGAGTAAGCCCGTGAAAAAGAAAGAGTAAGAGTATGAGTTGGAGCTCTGGATACCCTCTTTTTCGATTTTTCTTTTTCTTTTTTTCTTTTTTTTTTTTTTT